ATCAAGACGCCATCCATAGTTTGCATCTCGCCACCGACCACCTAATCTGCAGAGATGAAACTCACACAAAGATCTTTCAATGGCGACTGCAATCAGCAAGGCAAGCAGCCAGGACCATGGACTGCAACTAGTCGGTGGCCGTCATCTGCACGCATGTGCACATCTCAAGCGGCCGTCTGTGTGCGTAAGTATCCATGCACCAGCCCCGCATGCTTGTCTTGATCGTACTCCAAGCCATGGAGACCAACCTGGGCACACAAATAGAAAATTCATTATGTTTGGCACAATCCACTTCTTTTGCACATAATTTTTTTGGCCATAAGCCGATCATCATGTATGTCCATGACCAATACAGCAAACATGTCGAGTTTTCGTTGACTGAACATAGCAGATTGCCTGAATATAACAGACCAAATAAATTTGGAAGCAGCTTGTAAATTCCCCCCTCATCGTCTCATCCAAAGAAAGGTTTCATTCTTCGAGGCTGGTGAAAAATCCTCATCCACGCTGCAACATAAAAAAATGCTTTAGACAGGGCACTACTAATCACTTCAGAAGACGAACAAAGTTCATTTTCTTTAGAATGGAAGTTCAACCTGGTACCTTTCTGGGCAGTGAACTTTCACGCAATTGAAGGCTTTCACGACATACTTACTTAGTACAGTTTACACTGAAAAGGGAAAAGTACAATTAGGAAAAAATTAACAACAAAAAATTGTTATGAAAGCTAACTAAAGAGGCATTTGTTAAGATGTTATATACTAATTTATTTGTGTTTGTTTCCTTAATTGGCCATAGTACTAATTCATAAAGAGCTTAGCTTCTTCTAAGTACTACATCTACTTACTGGAACATGTAGTCGTGGTCCGCAAAGAGAATGAAGCAGTCATAGTTGAATATAAGTAAGGATTCTTTGAGTACCTAATCACCTCGTTGTAGAGGATATGGCCCATAGGCATCCCGGGGTGGCCGGAGTTGGCCTTCTTGACAGCATCCATGGCGACAACCGGATCATGCTGACCAATTTTCGAGTAGGTCGCCTGCGGTGGCTCGGCCGTATTGTCGACAGCGTGCGAGTAGGATGCCGCTACCGTAGAGCTGCGTAGGGAAAGGAGCGGGGAGCGCAAGCCGCAGCTGGACAGCGAAGGGAGGAGGAACCCTAGGAACTCCGTCGGAACTCCGGCTGTTGATGCGGGCGTGACGCCGGCGGCAGCTTCACTCCTATCTCAACCCACGTCGCCCCGTCTCCTCGCCCACGTGTTGCTCTGTTCCCACATCGTCTTCCGTCCGCGCGGGTCGAGCTTGGCCAGCGCCGACCAACAGCATCGCCGGCGTAAAAAAAAAAAGATATTTCTAGTGATCAAACCAACCTACACAACCCCAAGCAAATTCTCTATTGAATCTCATACGAAAATGATGCAGATTTGAGTGAGCTAGGTGGAAGAACGGAGAGAGAGAGGCAGAGGCGATGGATGGGGAATTTTCAGGATCTCATCTCAATCCATCTCTCTATTCTTTATCTATATTATTTGTACATTTTACACTTCAACCCTCTTACAGATATATAAATTCCAACTCACACCAACACTCCCCTCAAGATGGGGCAAACACATCAGATAGACCCATCTTGCTACAAAAGATAGAGAATAACTTTTCTGATAGACCTTTTGTTAGAACATCTGCTACCTGATTTGCTGAAGTCACATATGGCATACAAACTACTCCTCTATCCAGTTTCTCTGTGATGAAATGACGGTCAACTTCAACATGTTTAGTACGATCGTGTTGCACTGGATTATTCGCAATATCAATTGCTGCTTTGTTGTCACAGTAAAGCATCAAAGGCTTACTCTGACATAACCTTAGTTCAGTTAGAAGAATCTGCAGCCATAATAGCTCACATAGGCCATGTGCCATGGATCTAAACTCAGCCTCGGCAGTTGACCTAGCTACCACATTTTGTTTTTTACTTTGCTAAGAGACTAAATTTCCCCCAACAAATACACAATAACCAGAAGTGGATCGCCGATCATCTAAAGAACCAGCCCAGTCCGCATCTGTATAACACTCAACTTGTAAATTCCCTTGCTTTGTGTAGAGAAGACCTTTTCCTGGGTACCCTTTAAGGTACCGTAGGATTCTATTAACAGCATCCAGATGAGCTGTTCTTGGGTTATGCATGAATTGACTCACAACGCTTACGGCAAATGCAATATCGGGACAAGTGTGGGAAAGATAAATCAACTTACCCACAAGTCTCTGATAGCGTTTTCTATTAACCGGATTCCCTAAATCACTACTTAATTTGTGATTCTGTTTAATGGGAGTAGTAGCCGGTTTTGAACCATACATGCCAGTTTCTTTGAGCAGGTCTAAGATGTACTTTCTTTGTGTCAGAAATATACCTTTTGGACCACGCAAGACTTCTATGCCAAGGAAGTACCTCAAGTGTCCTAGATCCTTCACTTCAAATTCTTGTGCGAGATGATGCTTCAGGCCAACAATTTCCTCGGTATCATTGCCTGTCATCACAATATCATCAACATAAACTATCAGGATTGCTACCTTGTTATTAGCATGTTTATAGAATAATGTGTGGTCAGTGTTGCTATGTCGATAGCCTCTTTTCAACATAGCTTGTCTAAAACGATCAAACCATGCCCTTGGTGATTGTTTTAACCCATACAAGGAACAATGTAGGCGTAATACTTTTCCTGTATTACGGCTGGAATCAAAACCTGGTGGAATTTGCATATACACCTCTTCATGAAGATCTCCATGAAGAAATGCATTTTTTACGTCCATCTGGTAGATGCTCCAATCAAAATTAACCGCACAAGATATGAGAGTCCTTATAGAGTTCATCTTTGCCACAGGTGCAAAGGTTTCATCATAGTCTATACCATAAGTCTGCGTGTACCCCTTGGCTACAAGGCGTGCTTTATATCTGTCTATCTTACCTTCTGGTGTGTGCTTAATAGTAAACACCCATTCGCATCCCACCGGTTGCTTGCCTAGAGGTAGATCCACGAGCTCCCAAGTTTTATTTTTTTCCAATGCTCTCATCTCATCCAGCATTGCATCTTTCCACTTGGGGTCTTTCAAGGCAACTTTCCAGTCTTTTGGTATGGAAGTAAGATCTAGAGAAGCAATAAAAGTTTGGAGGGACCGACTACAATATTTGTAGGAGATGTAATTGGCTATATCATGTTTGTAGTCTTTAAGATATCCTGGTGCATTTCGGGTTCTAGTTGGTCTTCGTAAGGCAATAGGTAAAGTGTCTACATGAGTAGAAGGTTGATTATCACTCTGCCCTGATGTACTCATAGGAGTTACGGAATCAGAAGGGATAGTATTGGTACCTGGGTCCTCACGCATTTGAGACTCCTCATCTTGAGATGGAAATGATAAGTGTCCTATGCCATCATCCTCGTCTCCATGACAAGAGTTATCATCACTAACACCAACATTTTCCTCCCCCTGATTTCGAGTGCTATTAGTAGACAGAGGATCACCAGAAGTGGGAGCAAGAACAAGGACAGGCCCTTCATTTACCCTTTCTTGCTGCTCATCAGGTGGTGACAACGAAATACCAGACCCAACATTTGATTCATAATATGGTTCATCTTCACGGAAAGTTACATCCATGCTCACAAAAAAACGATGCTCTGAAGGGCTCCAACATCTATAGCCCTTTTTTGAGGGAGAATAACCCATAAACACACATTTAAGAGCACGAGGATCTAGTTTCCGTACCGAATTTCTATAGTCATGCACAAAACAAACACTCCCAAAGACTTTTGGAGGAACCACAAATTCATTAGAATTTAAAAGGCATTCAGCAGGAGTTTTGTAACCTAAAACACGAAGAGGCATCCGATTTATCAAGTAAGTTGCAGTTTTAATTGCCTCGCCCCAAAGGAATTTGGGCACATTCATTGTAAACATCAATGAACGTGCAACTTCGAGCAAATGCCTATTTTTACGTTCAGCAACACCATTTTTCTCTGGTGTATTAACACATGACGTCTGATGTTCAATGCCATTCAAAGCAAGAAACAATTCAAACTCATGCTAGACATATTCTGTACCGTTGTCCGTATGTAGAATTTTAACAGTAGCTGCATGCTGATTTTTAATAAGGGCACACAAGTCTTTGAAAACAGATAATACATCACTCTTATGCTTCAGAAGATAGAGCCAAGTGTACCGACTAAAGCAATCAATAAAGGTGACAAACCACCGGTGCCCAGACACTGAGTGAACCTCACAGGGTCCCCAAACATCGGAGTGAATTCTTTCAAATGGTTTTTCACTTCTAAGACCAATACTAGGATAAGAGCCCCTAGTATGTTTAGCTAGCTCACAAGCATCACATACCAGAGCCTCTTTAGGACATAACTTAAATAAAGCAGGATAAACACGGGATAAAACAGCAAAAGAAGGATGCCCAAGCCTTCGGTGATGCAACAATAACTCTTGACAGGAAGACAAACATGATACAAAAGCCACTTCATCAGTTCCATCATCAAGATAATAAAGTCCTTCATGCTCGGTCCCAGTCCCTAGCTCCTGAAAAGCAGAGCACGTAGGATCAAATCAACTTCTACAACCATGAGATTTATTCATAGAGCTAACAGATAATAGGTTCACTGGGAACTTGGGAACGTGTAGAACATGAGGTAAAGACAATGACTTGGTGCACCGGATGGATCCTCGTCCTGCAATAGATGCCATGGATCCATCCGCTACACGAACCTTGTCTTTACCTGAACAAGGTGTATAAGATACAAACAGGTCTGAATCCCCTGTCATATGATTTGTAGCTCCTGTATCAATAATCCAAGGTTTTGATTTGGTGGTAGTGTTCGCTTGATAAAGGTTCATACCTTGGTGAGAAGTGGCAATTAGATTGGAATCAACCTTAGAGGTGCCTTGCGAGGAAGATGAGCTTTCTGAGAGTTTAAGCTTGGAGTTGAACTCCTCAAGAGCTCGTACATCTACCACTGGTGGCCCCGTAGAGACGTGGTGTGGTTAGCTTGCCTTATATTCACACATTGAACTCCCCCTGTCCGAGGTTTTCCTTTTTCCCACCAAGATGGATATCCATGCAGCTCAAAACATCCATCCTTTGTGTGTCCTTTTCTTTTACAATGATCAGAAAGCAACTTGTTTTTGTCTATTTCGCCAACGGGCCTGGGAGTACGGCGATATTGCATAGATAAAGCCACACGGTCATCTGCACATTTCAGATCATCCTCCTTAGGTTGAGCCAACCGAGTTTCTTCCTCAAGCACACTGGAAATAATATCATCGAGACTTGGCCATTCTGGTTGAGAGAATATAAGTTGTCGCCGAAGGTTAAGCTCCTGGTTTAGTCCATCTAGAAACAGCTTGCCCACAATCGTCTCAAACCATTTGTGATGAATGGCTAGATCTCTCTTGTCAACTGCTTGAAAAGGATGATAGTAGTGCATGTCCCTGTACAACTGTTTCAATTCACCAGCGTACTCTGTTACAGACTTTGTGCCCTGATTTAGATGAGTTAATTCCTCCATAATGCGGGTTGCCTGCATTTTGTTTGATTTCCCAGCGAATTGGTTCTCCAAGGCGGTCCACACTTCAGACACAGATGACATTATTTTGACCTGTTGTCGCACAATTGGATCCATGCTTCCTAACAGCCATACTAGAACTCTATCATTGATCTGTCTTGTGTGAGTATCACCACTTTTCTGCTTTTCTTCATCATCAACAAGCAGGTACTCATAGCCATGGGAACTCAGTATCAATTGAGCATGGCGTGCCCAACTGACATAGTTGCCAGGACCTGACAGCCTCACTGGATTTGGTTCCAGGGCATACTTAACTGTCTCTGGGACTGCTTTAAGCTGCTGCTGCTCAAGCAATTTACTGAAAATTTCATACATTTTTTCTATACTTGCATCCCCTGACTTGTCTTTAGATTGTTCTGACATTTTCAATGCAAAAGCACACCCCAAGCATACTCAACAATTGTAAGACTCACCATGCAAGGTGCTACTTGCTGTAGTACACGAGCCTGATTTAATTTGGCCTCTCCACTGCTTGTAATGGAGATCTCACGCAGGAGAATAGCAGCCAAAAAACAAACTTGGAGATGAACTAGCTATTCGCATGATAGGTACCAGGAAGAACGATGGCACTTTGGGGATGAAATTGACTTTGCCGCAAACCACTCACCAAACCGGAGCAGCGCTGCAGACCTATGGCCGGGTCGGACGGCGGACTGCAGCAGGGATGAAGACGGGGATTCGGAGAGACCACACCACAACACACGACTGCAACGACCGCAAGCTCCAGAGTACGGCGACACAGCACCTCGTCGGCGGCCAATCTTCGCTCAAAATTCCGGATGAAACACACAGGAACGAACCTGCTCTGATACCATATTGAATCTCATACGAAAATGATGCAGATTTGAGTGAGCTAGGTGGAAGAACGGAGAGAGAGAGAGGCAGAGGCGATGGATGGGGAATTTTCTGGATCTCATCTCGATCCATCTCTCTATTCTCTATCTATATTATTTGTACATTTTACACTCCAGCCCTCTTACAGATATATAAATTCCAACTCACACCAACATTCTCATTATAGGCAGTAAAAAAAGTCAAAAATACCAAAAAAAACTCCTCCCCATTTAGTATTGTTATTATTATTACTTAAGTGGTGAGAAGACCAGGCCTTCTTTAGATTGGTCTATAACTAACGTACTTCAGGTCAAGATATTTCTAGTGGTCAAACCAACCTACACAACCTCAAGTAAATTCTCAGTATAGGCAGTAAAAAAGTCAAAAAAAAAACCAAACTCTTCCCCCTTTAGTATTGTTACTGATTCAAAAGCGGGTTGGGAACATGGAATTATCATAATCCACCGGAGCTCCAAATGTAGCCATGTTCTTTTTGTTTAACATCTTAATTTTCCTGTTAAACTCATATCCTACTCTAATTGAAACAACGCAGGGTATTCGACGCGTGGAGTGGTGCTGGCTCTGATTCATTCGTGGATTGGTTTGATTCTCTTGCACTAGACACTGGATCTTGGGGGGGAAATCATCGTCATGAACATAAACGGTTCCTGCCTAAGAGACAACAAAAGATAAGACAAATACTAGGTATCATTCTGATCGTGCTATCTACCCCAGTGGTGATATTCTCCGCGTATGGACCACTTGTGCGCTTTCTGCTATCGTCACTTGCTGTAGAGAAGAAAAACCATGACTAAGCCGACGGACATGCAACTAAAGCAAACTTGAAGCTCGCGTTGAACTTATTCTACGACGTAACTCAACTTCACTCCTCAATAGGCTTGTTGTGGATATTTATTCAAGGGTTTGCTGATATTCTGCTCATAAATTCTGTCAGCCAACAACATAGTTTCAGCCCCAATGTAATTGGTGCATATTTGCGCAAAACCAAACACAGATGTCTAAAGACCACCGTGTCAGCAACAAGTTGGAATTTGGTCACCTATGGTGCTGGCTTGCTGGATTCCAGCTTACCAGAGGAATATGCGGCTGGAGGGAGGGTACTAACAATGGTGATTGATAAGGATGTACCATTACATTTAAGACGGCTGCTGATTGGGTCACCGAGACAAAGAATTCAGAAGCTGATCGGAAGCCTTGCTTGGAGAAGCCCAGCCGACCGAGAGATGAGATGGCTTGCAACAAGGATTGTGGAGCACCTCGCTGGCGATCTCAACCTTGCTCACTTTCCAGGAGCATTGGAATGTATATCCTCCCTCCTCGACCACAAAGCACTACATTTACCATTTATACCTGGGCAAAGGGAGGATGGTGAAGGAATTGATAAGGACCTGCTTTTGCCAGGATTGAGAATTCTAGAGAACCTGGCACATGACACACATAACTGCACACTGATATACAACTCCAAGGGTCTTCTTTCAAAAATTGTTGCTCCTGTCAGCTCCAACGAATTAGTAGAAGATATCAAGAGCAGCGCTGCATGGACCAAGGTAGCAGATGGGTCATTGAAACTGGTGAGCCGCCTCATGGGTTCTTCAGGAAGCACCGGCCAAAACATGTGCAGACTAATTGCGAACAATAGTAATGCAGTCAAAAACTTGGAGGTTGTTCTGGACATGGACATGAACAACAACAGCGGTATCATAGAGCTACACATGCAAGCTCTAGAGGTTCTTACACAACTAGCCTTGCATGATCCAACAAATACTTCTGTGACGACAAGAGAAAAACTTATTGAGAGGGCTCTACACATCTTCCTTACTGCAGATTGGATGGAAGACTATTTGAAAGATGAAAAAAAGAAGATTTCCAAACCAACTACAAGCCAACAAAATACTTTGCCAAGATTGTCAACGGGAACATGGATGGATAACCACATTAAAAAGGCTAGAGAGAAGAGGGCCAAACAAGCAAGAGAAACGCGTGTGGAAAAGAAGATGAAAGAAGTTCAGGAAACTGCAAGCCGGCTTAAAGAAAAGGCTGGTGAAGCATTGGCCATGTTGTCCAGTGATTCAGAGGCTATCAAGAGCTTCACAGGATGCGACGATGATATCTATCGCCTTACTGAATTACTCGACTGCAATATCAAGACCATCCAATGCAAAATAAGTACAACAGATACTGTGGAAATAGATATTAACACGGGCTGTCGTATTAGCGCAGGAGCCATCTTGAAGAATTTAAGCAACTACGTCAAGGCACCAACCTTACGGAAGGTATGCCTGAATACATCTACTGCCTGGTACAAGTTTTTGGCAAAAAATAAATGTACATGGAAGGGTGGGCGCTTGAGTTTACAATTTATCTAATTATGCAACTTAAAAAAAATTCTTGGATATAAGTATGCATCATGTTTATAACATTAGCACCAAAGAAATTTCATGCAAAAATTTGATCATATTTTCTCTCTAGAAGAAAGACAAGTGGTTGTTGTATCTTTTTTCTACATGGTATATTTGATCATACGTTCGTATGATTTTTCTAGATGCTCATGTGAGAACATGATGCATATTAAGTTTCTGAGAATTTTTAAGATAGGTAATTAGGCAAGCAGAAACTTACTCACCCATCTCTGCATGTGTAAAATCCTCTTATTGAACTTTTTTTGCTAAAATAACATGTATGTATTTTATTGCAGGTATTCGAACAATTGCTTCCAGTAGAACAAGACGAGCCTTTCACTTCCTGGACCCCCAACAAGCAGTGTGGGGATAGGAGTCTGCAAGCGGAGCTGTTATCATTCGTCGCTGCGATCCGTGCAAACAACAATCTTAATCTTGCAGGAATCTTACTTTCGCAGACGCCGGCGCCGGATACCCTGGAAGACTTTGTGATGAGGCTGAAGAAGATGGTGGAGGACAACATGTATGCCACCCCTGCGTGCCTGGCGATACAAAAGCTTACTTGTGAGCTGGTTATAGAATTCATCAAGGATGATCGAAACATCGAAATGATCGACAGACACAATATCGTTGCAACATTACTGGAGGCTTCAGAGGTGATGGGTTGTCTTGAGAGTAGAATGCTTTTCGCTGGTGTCGATCGTGACTGCCACGGGGTTCCTCTGAAGCCTCTTTCTTCTGTTCTCTCTAAAAATGCCGAAGATCTTCTGGCACAGAGGAAACAGGCTCTGGGTATCAAACTATCAACATTGTGCCTGCCAGTGCACCAATACCGTGATTGCTGCATCACAAAGTATCTTTGCATGTTAAAAACACTTGAACGAGTATTGAATTCTTGATGTGATGTATAATTGTTTTTTTCTTCTTCTTTAGTTTCCTTTGCGGATTTGTGAGGCTTCGTAATTAACAACTGGCGTAGTGGGCATCAACATTGGACCTGCTGGTGTATCAATTCAGCTTGGAGTTGCCAACTAATGTCCTGCTGGATGTTTATGCAGTTCTCACTCAGTGTTCAGCTACTTCTACTCAAACTTGCCTAATTTAGTTTGTTACTATCCATTGTCAATGTTGAGATATAAACTGGCAGAACTCATCTACTGACAGTAAGTCTCAGCAAGTTGTAACTATCCGATGTTTTTCCTTCAGCTACAAGTCAGGTATCAGTTTGAAAAACAGAGATTTTGTGGACGCTAGCCCTCAACGCCACAAGCCCACAATCACCTAACAGATATGTCAAGCGCATCAATAAGTTCCGAAGAGTAAAAAAAAGCACTGGCAATCAGTCAATCAAGTTGTGGTTTGGACGCGACCCTGAGTAACGAACTGCAAACTGGACGGAGTAGATTCAGAGTGGATTGATGGAGCTTACCAGGCAGTCCGCATGCCGGCTCGAGCAAACTGCTGCTGCTTCCCTACGTGTAGTTGCGGCCCGCACCGGCCGGGACGCACGGGCACTGACGGGTGCGCCGCCCGCCGCCGTCCACCAATGCGCGTCGAGGGTGGGCACGAGATCCCCCGCCACCCTGTAGTGGCCACCGCTTTGAGAATCTTCATTTTCTTTAAAAGCCTTTGAGAATCTTCTCATCAACTTCTTAACGGCCTCTTGAGAGAACTTCACGGTCTAGTTTTTTTTTTGAGACAACCTCGCGAAGCTTTTTATTAAACCGTCACAATGTTTACAGGGACGAAAGAAAGGTCTTCAGAATGACCTAACCAAACATGGCGGCCACTCCCGAGAGATAAGGCATGCTTCGCTAAGTTGTGAGCCTCAAAGTTTGAGCTCCTAAATTCATGAACTATTTTACAAAGTTGAAAACCAGAAGAATGTTCTATGATTTCATGTATCACCGCACCATATTCAGCCGAAGTCCCGCTCTTTACGTCTTCCACCACCGTCTTGCAATCGGAAGCCACGTGAATGCTTTGAACATACAAATCATTCGCCAGCGCTAGAGCTTCCCTAATGGCCAAGGATTCAAGTGTTTGAGGATTATTGAGATGCCGGTACACTATGGCCGAAGCGCCAAGAAACAGGCCGGTTTGGTCTCT